TCCGCTTGCAATTGATTAATAATTTGTTGATATGTCCCCTTATTTATCATGGCTCTAGGCCAATCAGAAAGCGAGAAAATTTATCCTTATTTTACATGATGATGTTAATAGCATACATAATATTTTCAACAATTGTTGGCATCCTATTGTGGTAAATAAGGACATACCATACTAAACTATCAGAAATTTGTTTAATTGAGGAAGTAAGTAATACCAGTACAGCTGCATAATTATTCATACACATTACGACTTATCAAAGACTTCCTTGTTTTAAAAAAGCTTTTTTGTAATTTGACAGCATAAATTACAAAAACAAAATGAAGTTTTAGGGTTTTTTTGTTAGTAATTTTTAGGTTATTAGTGTGACAGGCATCAGACTGGCCAAAATCTTTTGGCACAACAGACTAATATTCCAGCATCTAGGCCAATGGGCAACAAGGTGTTGGTTTTACAAAGATACAGATAATATTTTGGGCGAATGACTGCAATACCAAAATTCATTCTTTATATAATTGTTTTTAATAATAATTACTAATGAAAATAGTTCTCAGTCACTAACCTCAATAATGCAACAGTATATAGTAATATAGATGGACATTTAGAAACATAGAAGAATCGAGGTTCAGACCACCCTACTTCCTGTACTTACTCTTATTTCACCTCTTGTCTGTGGCTGAAATTGGGTATTTTCTGGTACACCAAGAACAACATATAACCGAATCTGTGTAAGAAACAAAATGGAATTTAACTTTGAAGGTAATTTCATTTGAAAATGCTAGTATCCAGACAAAGGCTTCATGGATTTGTTTCTCTTCTTGACACTTCTCAAACGTTCTGCCAATCCCCAAGTGCTTTATGACTGCACACAGCACAGCAAGCAAGTTTTTTATTTCTTTTATAAAATACAAATTACAGTAATAGATAGGAATGATGCAATGGAAAGTGTGCGCGYGTGCAATGTGCTCTCATAAAGCACGYGCTCCAAACCAATCAGAACGCTACATTCATAACAGTTATTTTATAATAGGAAATAGGTCATTCCAAGATCCAAGAATAGCTAGAATGACTTGTGTTTGCTGTTTTYTTATTCTTGACAAGCACATAGTCCTTAGTGCTGAGACTAATTCAATGTTTCAAACCATTTCCATCTCGAAATGACCTACAGTATCTCCTATCTCCTTTGGCAATGACCGCATTTTTTGAAATACATGTAGGTGTATATCTATCAAAGGACTCACTGCATGATCATGTATCTTGCGTTCTATGAAGTCAGTAGGTTCAGCATATTTCCTCATGTCAAAACCAGTTTCTTCATATACCTGGAAGTGCAATCAACAAGAAATCAACTTCTAAAACTCATTAATAATTCATGAGGACAAAACAAAGAAAATCACTAGCGTCAAGGAGGTTCTAAAATGAGAAATTTAGTCAGTCACCCAATTAAATCACAACACAAAGTTAAGGTACACTGTATGATATGGTACAGCTATGAATTTGCTGTTACGGTTTCATACTTCTAAAATATCACACTCATTTTATACGTTATGAAACATGCTGCAATTCAAACTGTACCTCTCTGATGGCACATTCAAATTCATCTTCATCTTTATTGACTTTTCCTTTGGGGAAGCCCCAACTTGTTTTAGACATTGCAGGCTGTACTAAAATGCACTTAAAAAGGGAAAAAGCACAGGATTTAAGACAAGAACAAAGAAATAATAATGTATATGTACTAAAAAGATAGATAAGGTCCATACAGGATGTTCAAAGCTAGTTTCTATTATAATTTGTTAAAAGCCTTATTGGTACATGTATGTAAAAAATAGTTCATTAACTATGATCTAAAAACTTTATGATTTACATATTGACTAGCCATCAAATCCTTGAGTGGTGATGATATGCAATGCTGTGTTACAAAAGGTGGGTAAAATAAATAACCTATTRAAACATAGCTATTGTAATGAAGATTTCATTATGAACAAAATTTGATTTYTTTTGTTGATATAAACAAATATTTTTTACGGTTTTGCTATGTCACAAAAGCAATGGTCAAATGCCTACAGTAGTTGTGCGTATATCCAGTTCTGGATGCACTTGGGAGGTTGCTTAAGTACTCAAGAGGCTAGAGTTGCACACGGCTAYGCCTTGTGCGACTCTTACATGCTTTCTTACTTCTTTCATGCTTAGCAGCCTCCCGCATACATCCAGAACTAGATATACGCACGCTAGGCATTGAACATTTCTTAAATCTATTATGACTTTTCAATAAAAGTCCAAATTAAGAATTCCTAAAATAATAACACATCTACATAAAACACTTGCTTCTGATTAATCGATTGGCTGTGAATTGTTTTCTTAATTAATACATGCAATATTAATTAATTGCCCAGTGTGTGTGTATGCGATTAATATGGTTGCTGTATTATCAAAAAGAAATACACCCTTAGTTCTTGAAGAATTAATGTAAAAATACAATTTGTGGCTAAATAACACTCTTGCTACGCACGCAATCGTGGTATCAAGACACTTTTATCAAATGTTTTATTGTTTTATTTTTAAATAATTCTTCTCGAATGGTGGTATCTCCTATACTAATGACAGACCTTTTCCATCTCATCCCAATCATTCCTTAGGTAATAATTACTAAGCAGTCTTTCTTTGAACTGATCAAAGAGGTGGAAGAAAGAACTGACATTTACTATACCTTATCTAGTGTTTCATTGACAATGATAGCTCCAAATACAGGCACCTTGAGTTTATATTTGCGCCAGTTTGCAAAAATTTGATTTATATCCTCGTCACTTTTGTTAAGAAATGGAAAATGGTTAAAAAGTATGATAGTTAAGGAAAAATAACATATAATTTAACTTTAAAAAGCTAAAATTTTTATTAATATTTACAAGTAGATAGAATGGCAGAGTTTCACATTATTTTGTTAAAAAATCGTTTTAAAAAAATATTATATTATATTTATAGCTTTAATATGAGTTTCCGGTTTCGTTTTCAGTTTCCTTCGTTGACGTCATACAAATCGACCATCTAAAGAAGTAACTTTTCCTTTTAAAATTGCTATTCTTTGGCACTAAAGGATATTGATTCTTGTAAATTCTTTGATTCCACAGCCAGGAAGGTCTGGGTTTTCTTGTCTATGAAAGTCGATGTAAAACCAGTGGGCGAGTTCAATTTGAAAACATAACCGTACGACATCTTTTCTTTCCTCGTCAGGAATGTTGATTAAAAACCGACTGAAAAAAATACAAACAACATAACTAAGCACGTAGTGAAACTACTTGTTTCATAAAAGATTGTATTATTAAGCTAACCTGCATAGATCTTCGAGGATTTCAGCAGGAATACTGCGGTTGTAAACCATAGGAGAATCTGGTTCCGACTCCGACGCCATCTTGGATATCTTGCAACACCGTAAAGCATTCTGGGATATACTAAGCGACCACCCCTCTTCAAATCCAAGATGGCCGACGAGTAACACTCTTGCAAGAGTTTCTCGATCGTTGTCCGATTACCTTCCTAGATTTCTAATTTTATTCATTTTGAAGACTTTTTAAATCTCCCCAAGACATTTCCGACCATCCAGTCGACGTATTCAAAAAAAGGCAAAGTTTACAGACATGGGTTATGGTTTGAAACTGGCTGCAGTGTCCACGTGCCTTACCTTGATATTTGTGAGCGGTGTACTTTTATTCACCCGCGGTTTTCTTCTAAAGAGACTTGTTATTGACGATAAGACCAAATGCAATGAAAAAATCAATGGGAAAACTATGCCATCTTCATTGTTCTCCAAAACGTCCTCTTCTGGCTGTTGGGTCGAGACCAAGTTTGAAAAAGCTGTCATTCTTATCATCGACGCACTGCGATATGATTTCGCTTATTTTGATGAAACACTTCAAGATGAAGACACTCTTACTTATCAGAACAAGTTGACAGTAATTCATGAAACACTCAAGGCTTTACCTCAACAAGCTCGTCTGTACAGGTTCATAGCAGACCCACCCACAACTACCATGCAAAGGATAAAAGGCTTGACAACTGGTAAGAAGCGTTATAAGCTTATACATGTAGGATATTACACGGTGGCGTGAAGATATGAAGGTTAAGGGAAGTTTAAGCTGAAGGGATGGTGGGGATGAAGATATGTGTGGTGGAGGGGGGGGAGGTGGATTTACCAAAATTGTTTTGGGACATGAAAAGGGGGGCTCTAAAAATTTGTCATGTATAAGGGTGCTCTCGATTTTAATTTGAAAATTTTCATGGGTTGTTTGGGGGGCTTTGAAAATTAAGTTAAGTCCTAAAGATAGGAACTGGCCTGTAAGGAGATATGGTTTTTGAGGAGAAATCTTCATCCTCCCCTTTAAATACTACATTGTACAGGGTTCATACAAGTCCTTAAACTCTTTGAAAAGTGCTGGAATTTAAAATGCATTTTCAAGGGCACTCGAAACTCCTTGAAAATAGAAAAAAAGTAGAAATGTCCTTGAATACTACTTGAAAAAAATTGTCTGTGAAAAAATGTCAGTAAAACTTTCAAGATATGTAAACCGCGAGTCATTGTCATTGGTTAAAATTAGAGATTTTCACTACATCTYGGGAGAAGCATCTTTTCCTATTATTTTTTAAATTTCCAGAACTTAGTGGCTCAATGTGGCGTGGATATCATGTGACAAATTCGCACATCTTGATTAGCATTGGCATTTTCTTCACTTTTTTTAATACCAAAATTACTCCTTGAAAAATGTCATTTTGGTCCTTGAAAACTCCTTGAATAATTTCTTGGGAACCTAGCACGAACCCTGATTGTATGAAATGAACTTTCCCTTATCACAAGTATTATCTTTCATATAAGGGGATATAACTAGCTAAAAACTAGTGTGAGCTGCGTCGGTGTTTCTAATGAAACAGTAATGATGAAAAGGTAGATTATACACCGTGAAAAGATGAAAAAACTTACTGACGTTTCGGACGCTAGTCGTTCGTCCAACGAAGGACTAGCGTCCGAAACGTCAGTAAGTTTTTTCATCTTTTCACGGTGTATAATTTACCTTTTCATCATTACTGTTTCATATAAGGGGTTTGGTTTGGGTGAGTAGCCTTGTAAGGGACTTTGTGTACTATTGCTGTATCACCTGCCCTATTTAGCAAATTGTCAAATAAATAAATAAGTGCAGCAAACACAAAAGTATATAGACGCATTCACAATCAAAAACTTGTTGAAAACATGGAAATGACATCATTGATATCTTCACTATTGAGAATATGGAAACTGTGTCATTGAGGTCCCATCCCAGATATAGTTTGAATGAAAAATATGAGTGGTGTTATGTATATTATTTCCCAGTATTAAACACTAATGTCTATATAATGAACTGTTCTTATCAGTGTAAAGAAATTATCATATGTGTAATCATAATATTGCTTAGTTTTGTATTTTTCTTGTTACTTTAGGTAGTCTTCCCACTTTTGTTGATGCAGGGAGCAACTTTGCTTCTTATACTATCAAGGAGGACAACATCATATCCAAATTGGTTGAACATGGTAAAAACATCACTTTCATGGGTGATGAGACATGGCAAGGGCTGTTCCCTGACACATTCCAAAAATCCTATCCTTTTCCATCTTTCAATGTGAAAGATCTTCACACGGTTGATAATGGAGTCATTAAACATCTGGTACCAGAGATACAGCAGGAGAATTGGCAGGTTCTTATTGGTCACTTTCTTGGTGTTGATCATTGTGGACATAAATATGGACCATATCATCCTGCTATGGCTGAAAAACTTCAACAGATGAATAATGTGCTAAGGTATGCTTTCAATTCAAGGCCCTATTGACATGGGAGGAAGAAAACCCTAAACAAGAATCTTCCTTGCAGAAATATCAATCTGGCTATACAGCTGTATATCTATTGCTTTTTGTTTTGTTTGGTATTAGTGTATTCCTAGCAGTAGGATGTTTCTGTCTTGCTCCTAGATCCTAGTACCAGGGATAAAATTCACTTCTTGTTTCAAATATAAATGAAAAAAGGAGAGATAACGCATTTATAAAATATTATGTAAATTTAATAACATATACTGTAGTTTTGTATATGCTTTCACTTGTTACTTATCATCATTCAGGTCTGTGATAGATGCTCTAAACACCCTGAACGTTTTTTTATGAATATTCTTTATTCAGGTCTGTGATGGATGCTCTTGATGATAAGACTGTTCTGTTTGTGATGGGGGACCACGGTATGACCCGTACTGGAGATCATGGCGGCGATAGTCGTGATGAACTTGATTCTGCTTTGTTTGTTTACTCCAAGGTGCCTTTTATTGACACCCACCAGCCAAAGGTATGATACTGTATGTTGATGTAAATCTAATCAGTGTCTGCACGTTTTTCTGGTATATTTTCTTCTGCGCTGACATTATTTACATATCGATATAATACATTTCAACTTTAGAAAGCAACATGTAATATGCAGCATGTAACAAAATGAAAACATGGTGTGTGAAAATTGCGCTAGCAGCTCTGATATTAAAGAAGTATTGGAAACTTTTTTACAATTGTGTTTATCGTTTTACGTGCGCAACCTCCGTACTGATTATTTCATTCCCATGCATTTTTGCACTCCTACGCGAGTTGATTGGGATCAGAAATAAACGGAAATAAAAGTGGGTGCAGTTCTGGACGAGGGCAGTGCCAGGTATGACTTGAGAGGGTTTCAACCCCCTTCCCCCATTTCCCTCCCCTTTCCTTAAAAACTTATAGAATTTACTGAGCTGCTTGAAGACTAATGACATTCCACCCCCTGTTTAAATCCTGTTTCAGATTGATGCAAATTCAGTCTCACAAGTGGACTTTGTGCCAACATTTTCTCTCCTGATGGGAATTCCTATTCCCTTTGGCAATCTTGGAACAACAATCACTGAGCTGTTTGCTGGACAAGATTATCAACCTGTTATTCCTAGCTACGTCCCTGATGAAAAAAGACATTTATGGAAATCTTTGTTGACTCGAGTAAAAGTATTGCAAGTAAATGCTTATCAGATCAATAAATATCTGCAAAAATACCAAGAAATTTCTGATGAGATTCCGAAAAGGAAGCTATCGTCAATAACCAGTGAGTTCGTTGAAGTCTCTGAGTTATGGCAGGATACTCGGGATCAGAATAATATTAATGGAAGTACAGCTGCAGGACACCTTAGTGTTGAACGTCTTTTGCTGATGGAACAAAAGTACTTAAAGTATCTAACAGGAGTGAAAGAACTTTGCATCGAAATGTGGGCGAAGTTTGACTTGATATCAATGACGTTTGGCGTCTTGATACAAATATTTGCGTTATCGTTAATGACAATGATAATATTAATACCAAGTCTTCTTCGAAAAGGTGCTTCAGTAATATTAAAAACTTCGGTAGTTTTATCAATTATTGGGTCTTGCTGCTGTGCTGTTATCAGTGCCACTGATTCTCACACAGTCATTTACAATTCATTTGTTTGCTGCGTTGGGAGCCTTGCTTTTATTTTCGCGCATTTTATTATTGCAGAAAGGACAAAGCTTTACGCTAAAGTTAAACAGGTTATCCGTATCATCAGCCTTGAAGATATCATATCGACTGTACTTTGTTTGCTCTACTTTCTTTCTACTTTCTCGAACAGTTTTGTAGTTTACGAAGATATGTGTGTTACATTCATCACTTCCAGTTTACTATCTCTTCAGCTTATCTTGGCCTTTTTGAAAAACAGAACCACACAAACTATAGTTCGTATATTACCTAGAAAAACGTTAGGAGGGAATAAAAAAGCCAAAAAAGAAACTCAAAAATTCGATGTTTGGAGCTTTTTCACCTCATCTAATTGTCAGGCGGTGTTGGCCCTATTGTTGTTTGTTCTTTGTGGAAGACTATCGTCAGTGTTTAGAAGATGTCGAGAGGAACAAGTTTCATGCGAGCCTTCAAGTTTTCTTCAACCATTATCTGCCTTGAAAGATGCCACTGAAAGCATTCACCAGCGTTTCTTGTTATCCACAATTTGCGCATGCGCTCTACCACTAGGATTACGACAATGGYTTCGTTTCCAAGGCAATCTAAATGGCTTTTCTTCTGCTGTTATTTGTGTAAAATATGGTCTTCCTTTCGCTACGGCAGTTACAGTTGCTCACTGGGCACTTCAAATAATCCCGCAGGCTGCCAACGACGCTTTCCCGAACTTGCAGCTTTGGCAACAAATAATTCTACCTGAAGTCGTCTACTGGCTTTGCTTGTTGACTATTTCCCTGTTGCTGTGGCAACCATTATGTTTGTACACTATGCTAAGGGATAGTCAGAGCTCCCTTAAGGATTCAATTAACAGTTATCTCAACAAAGACAACAATGATCCTAAAACATTGCAAGTTGTCTTTAATGAGTTGAGAAAAAAATGGGACTCTAATTCATCCCAAAATACGGGCGATAAGACAGTAATTGACCCCGAGAAGAACCAACCACCTGTGGTATACGGGCTGGCTACAGTTTACTCGTCACCAATTCTTATCGTTGTCACGTGTGTTGCCATGACGATGGTGGTAATCTTGAGTGATGGAATGGTGGGATCTGTGCTGTTGCTTCTGGCTCAGATGTTTCTTTTCCTAGAGATCCATGCATCGATCAGAAAGATAGCTCACAAGGAGGATGGATCCAGCCAGGAAGGTATGAATTAACTTCGTTAGTAATTTAATAATATAATGACCGTAATTCTCTTGGTTATGAAAAACAATAATTTGGAATTGCTGCTTGATTAGAATGAAGCTACCAAGGAGCGCGCAAGCGTCAACTCGCGTCCAAATTCCGCGACAATTTGGCGTGCATCTCTTCCCATGAGAGTAAAAGGATAGAAAATATTTGACGCCATGTCGTTTGTTTGCTCAAGTCAACCAACATGGCCGTCATGACTTCACATGCACCTCCATAATGATGATGTATGAATATTTTATATAAAATTATACTCCTCGTTCCCAGGTCACCATTGGCATGCAGTGGTCGTGTGGGGCCTGTTATCGTCTCAGTACTTCTTCTCTACTGGTCACCAGGCCACTATACCAGCGATACGATTCGAAGCAGCTTTTGTCGGGTTGCCTGGAGACATGGCGAATAATATCTTGCCAGGTACGACAATATTATTAGTACCTTGAAAGTAATATTTTTTTACATCCAAACATTCTAGATAAGTAAAAATGTATATTTTATTACAAACGTCTCTCCCCTGTGGGACTCTTCCGTGAGGTCGTTGCACACACACACCACCACTACATTCATAAGCTACAACACACAACTCCAATGGTTGGTTTTTATAGAGGGAGGAAAACCAATTGTGCAAGGGAGAGGACGGTTCATTCGAGCGTCCAATCAGCGACTAAAGCCTTGAACTACACAGCGGTTAGAGACAGCACCGTAGCTATGCACGCAACTTGTCAACGCGTTTGTATTCTTGTCTCACTCCAAGTAAAAGTTATATGCTTTTTTCGCCAAAAGTAATAAACAAAAGATGGACCCGAATGCCTTCTTTGATTCCCAAGGAAGGCCTTGCGATCCCAGTAAACATTAGGAGCGTTTTCTATGAAAACATCATGTACAAAATATGGACCAGAATTTCCCATTTGATTCTCCTTGCGATCCCAGTAAACTATTGCAGCTTTTTCAAGAGTGCATTCGGGATATCGTGACAAACAAAAGATGTTTGTACCAAAATATAATAGTTCTCTTTAATTACAAAACATAGGGTGATTATTTTTCTTTTCTTGCAGGACTGCTTATATTTCTAAACACGTTTGCATCATCTATACTTTTCGCTGTTGGGCTTCCTGTGCTTTTATTTTGGCCAAAGATCTCGATAAGGCTACTTGGAAAGGCCAAAAAATCTCAGGAGAAGAGCGCCACCGATAAAGGAGAGTTCGTGTTTGTGGATGATCCTATTGGATTCAGAGAAGAGGTTTTTCAGTTGATCACAATGTATCAAGTTTTCCATGGCTTGAAGGTGAGTAAGAATGAATGTGGCCCAAGATAATCAAAGCAGAAATGGTTTTACAAATTCTTCTGASTCTGCCCGTAAAGTTATTACTGGGCTACCTGTGGTAAACCGGTCATCATTCATTTATTATGAAACTTTATAGCGCGCTCTCCGTGATCGCCTCCCCCCTCCCCCATTAAAACGAACATAAACCAAATTAAGCAAGCTTATGTACTGGACTAATTCAACGATATGGCGGCCATTTTGGATCGCTAGTCAAAGTGGGGCTATCCTTTGTATCGCATGTCATTATTACAGCCAAAGACGGCATATTGATCACCTTAACCCATAAAAAAAGACAAACACGAAACTTTACATATTATTAGCTATCTTTGTATTATTTTGTTGTATCGTCGATATAGTCCATTTATGGTTCCGACACCCCTTAGTTGCCGTTGCTATGCTTCACAAGCTCAAAACTTTAGAACATTTCAGAATTGAAAACTCTGATTACGGCAAGCTAAATATAATTTGTTTGARTTGTTTGCTGTCTCGAAGTAAAAATTGCCTCGTAATTTTTATAGTACTCTTCAATACAGAAACTGTGTAGCTATTTTTGGGGCAACGTTATGATTACACTGGGAAAACTGCTGCAACGGTGATTGGATGGGTATTGTCTGAGTCTCGGAACCATGAATATGTGATTGTAATGAGTTGTAAATTTTGGGTCACTCTGTTTGTGAAAACTGGAGCAAAAACGAGAAAAAAATCAATAAATATTACAATAAGTAGATGAATAATGATATGGAAGAAAGTTAGGAATATAGATGATGAATTTATAATACAGGATTTTCATAAACACTAGCCTAATACAAATTAGTAAACCCTAATTCCATTGTGTTCTTTTATTGTCATTTCACTATTACACACTAACTAATGATATCTGTTTCACGGGTTTATGAAAATCACTCTAAAATGATAATATAGAAGAAAATTACTATAAATTTAAAATAATGGTTTAGTTATAGAATGTTAATGAAGAAAGAAAAATAACAATAAATAAGAAGGAAAAAATATGAAGAGATTCTTTCACAGTTCCCTGCGCCATCTTGAAAGGTAGTCGTGCCTTTGCATCGAAGCGAGACGAACGGTAAGGGGAATTGTGAATAGACCTAATCGGCTAACGTGTTGCTATGTACGTTACCACCCAATTCAAACCTTTTGGGAAAAGAAGCGTTTGTCTCTACGAATTCAACTGTGAAACCAAAATATAACGAACAATGAAACTTACTCCCAGAAGGTTTGAATTGGGTGGAAACGTACATAGCAACACGTTAGCCGATTAGGTCTATGGGACTTTTTAAATCAAAAGTAAGGAATATAGGAAACACGTTTGTATTATGTGGGGTTTGACTAAATCGAAATCAGTCTAACGCAAGGATATCGTTTCTAGGTTTTATTCTGCTCGTGCTCTGCAGCACTACACCGGAGACATTTAATGGTGTGGAAGATATTTGCTCCTCGCTTTGTGTTTGAGGGTGCTTCATACCTTGTTACCTTCCCGTTCTTGGTGTTCACATTTTTGGTTGTTCTGAGAACCGATGGCGCTCTGGAAAAATGGACTCAAAAATTGGAAACCTATTTCGCATACAAGGAAAAATCTGGTTAGACAAGCTGGCCTCTATTAAACTCCTATACCACACGACCATCTCTCGTTTTACCAGAAAAAGGGAGAGGGGCATGGCCTTCTTGTCTCTTGCAGTAAGATAACTAAAAAACTGCGACTGACAAGTCTCATACATGTGAAAACGCTTTTGTGTTTCTACGTGAACGCGAGGCTAGTCAGTCACTAGTTGGAGCGGAGGATTTTATTCAAATTGGTCGCCATTTTTCGATTAGGCATATTGCACTCGAAAAAATGGTCGTAATACACGAGAAATAGGGTGTGTCGTATAATAAATCCTTGGAATAAGCTGTGGCAAGATTTTAGCTATCTTTTTTGTGCGATTGGACCCGGAATTACGTCACAACTTGAAAGCCCTACACACGTAATCAAAGTATGACGACCAGTTTGAATAACTATTGTTCTAGACTGACCACGTGGAAACATAACTCGTTTTTACATGTATGAGAGGCTAGTCAGTCCAGAACAATTGTTATTCAAAATGGTCGTTTCAGTGTATAGACGCTGTATACACTGTAGACCATTCAGATATACGGCTAACGTCAAAATTCACATGAGCCGAACCTAATTACATCAATGAAGACCGCCTTGTTATCCATTGTTTTAGTTAGGTTCGGCTCGTCGTGACTATCTCACACTTGCTATAGATTTATTGAATGACTAAACAACAAAAGGCTGGAGTGCCTTGGAAACTAATAAGTAAAAAGTCGCTGGCAAGTACAATCGGTTTCCTGAGCGCTTGACTGTATCTTGAGAAAGGTGTACACCTAATTAAAAAAACGTAGTCGGGTTCGAGAAGGTCATATATCATCGAAGCTAAGGCCGAAAAAGATTTTGGATACTCCGAAATGTGTATTATATTTGCATATAGACATGTAAAAATGCACATTAGAGCAAAGTCGGTCAACCTAGATTAACATGCCAAAGCCGTCTTCGAAGATTTACGCTGGAGAGCTGTTTGGCTGCGGTATTTTGTCTTCACATGCTCCCCTTCGGTCTTAGCTTTGATTATATAACCTTTTTTTTGAACCCGAGAACGTTTTTTCAATTAGGTGTATTCATTAACTATGATTCAAGCCATCACGAAAGGCAGATTTATGTCATTTCAGCCAATGACAACTTACTTTTCAATTAAAAATAATATTTAATGATCCAGATGAGTTATTACACATCCTAGTTACAATTTTGTGTTTATGGTGAGAAGTATTTCCCCCGTATTGTTCAAATTGTGTATTTCTGAAATAAAGCGAATTTTGTATGAAGAAGTCTAAAATAAGCAGAGTTTTCCATCAAATCCTTTTTAAGTAAATGGCTTGGTATGGTTGATCCCCCTACAATCTAAAAAAAAACATATTATCTTAAATAATCAGACTCCACCCCATGGGATAAATATAGTCCAGTCCCAGACCCGTTTTTAGCCCGCTCCGTTGAGCGGCTAGTCGTATGCCCCCCGACTAGACTCTTCCACAGTCTCTCGCTCGTCCGTTCCGTCTCCACACTTAGAGACTGTAACGCCAAATGACCGAAAGGACTTATGGGTCCCGAAAACGTGGACCCAGCGTGCTTTGGGAACCAAAATGCTCGTCCACAGTCTCTCGTTTTCGCCGCCATCTTGAAAATATTGAAATGAGAGAGACTGTGGACGAGTATTTTGGTTCCCAAAGCACGCTGGGTCCAAGTTTTCGGGACCCATAAGTCCTTTCGGTCATTGTACCGTTACAGTCTCTAAGCGTGGAGACGGAACGGACGAGCGAGAGACTGTGGAAGAGTCTATCCCCCGACCAGCCACTCAACGGAGCGGGCTAAAAACGGGTCTGGGTCTGGACTAGGGATAAATAATAACCGGTCCCTTATAACCGCTTATCACAAACGTCGGTTCTCTTTTGTACTGTAAAATCACAAATCTTAAACTTCAATGAAAATCTGTGTGGTAGCTACGTATTCCTCCATCAAATAAACATTGTCATCGCACGAAAGGCGAAAGGCAACGTCATTTCGACATGGAAATGGTTTCGTTGTATACGAATAACATTGTTAAGTCTCAGCACTAGGGTCCATGTTCTTGACGAGAATAAAGAGAAGCAGAGACACAAGTCATTCCAGCTATTCATGGATTTTGGAATGACCTATCTCCTTTTGCTTTTCGCCTATCGCCTTTGGCGAAGACAACGTTTATTGAAATAGGTGTATTTAGTCCGGATTTAGGACGTGAAAAATAGGATCAGTTTTTCAGTCTCGCACAATATCAGTGTCATGAATGTAGTTCATTTATTACAGCGAGGGCAATTCATTGACAACATTGAACTAGTCTTGTTGGATGTGACTAATATACATTGTATAGTATTGTACTGTGGCTGCCTCGCAACGATTTGTTATCACTACAGACACTATTAATGGATTCTTGGTCACATCATAGCCGCTATGTTGGTTGACGATAACGAAGCATGCTTCATTGTTATTAATATCACTATAGATTAGTTTGAGTCGAGTTTGCACTCCAGGAGTTTGAAGCAAAGTGGCCCCTTTTTATTGATAAACGAGGCCGTCAAGTCAAGGACTTGTTCGATGGAACTTCACAGTTATTGCATTTTAATTGAGTTATAATTTAAAAAAAAGTGAATTGTTTCACGTGATGTGAAGGATATTAGAGTATCATTTTTTTGTTTTGTGGCATTTATTTGTGTACGAGTTKATTGCTATTTCGGATGGTTGTCATAGCGAGCGTTAATTCCAGTGAGTAATGTCTAGACTAAAATAGAACGACAGAGTAAAGACAACATTTGCAATCTTTGTTACAGCAATTTATAGATAAAGAAATCTTCAGTTGTTGCACTGAATCAGTAATTTTTCGTTGAATGCTTTCCCATTTCAGTCCTTGTGTCGTTCATTCAAAACTTCCATCGGTAATTCTTCGATTGCACGTTACGTCATCGCGGCCATGTTGGTGCCATTTAACAAAAGATTTCTTATTACCATCCATTGTTAACGGCACCACAATGGCCGCCATGCTTTTGTCTTTTAACTCTCATGGGAATGCTTGCAACCCATCAATAAGATTTTTGTGTTTCTTGAACTGATACTAATAAGATGTAAGAAAAGATATCGTTCTCAAAGAATGATTGGCATCTGATCTAAGATATGTCAAGACATAATAGAGTTGAAACTGGTTTTGTAACATCTGTAACACTAAGAAAAGACTGACTTAAAAAATTAAAATTTATACAGATCTAGACATGACAGTTGGAGATCAGATAATCCCACCATTGATAGGGTACCTAGATTGATATAATCCATAATCTACAATCTTACTGCCAAAAAGTACATAATTAGGAAACTTGAACACCGTGTGAAACGTTTGTTGCCATGATGATGTTTCAGAGGTTAACTAGTCCTTTGTCATGGTAAACGTCAGAGGGGACCAAAATGCAAAAAGACCACTTGCTCTGAGTCCCAAGAGGATTCGTTCTGGGAGACAAAACATTGTTGTTTTTTTTGGTTTTTTTTTTGCATAAGAAAAGACGTTATTGTTTTGTCCCCCAGAACAATTCCTCTCGGGACTCAGTCCAAGGGGTCTATTCTTAGCCATTTATTTAAGGTTTTGTTGCAAGAAGAGTACGAAATAAATATAATTCTTAGCCGTCACGCTGAATAAGTTCACGTACAAATGCACAAATGCTCGCTATCTTATAGGTTGCTATCAATAGACGTCACTTCCGGTAATAGCTCTTTTTTGATGGCTTGTAGAATCCTGGAGGTTGTTTTGATCTCTTGTTTTCTGGTTTGATGTCGCGAAAATAGCCAAATACAATAGTTTGAGGACTTATTTTGATATGTTTTGACTTAGCATCCTYTAGTTGCCCCCCAGTCAACCGCTTGTTTGCCCCCCAGTCAACTCCAAAAAGTCACGTGATTGATAGTAAGCAATTAGCTAGCTAGAAAAAAATAAGTTGGATGGCCACGGTACGGCGAAGGCGTCGCGCTTTACTGAGCTTGGTTCGTACTAAAGTCGAAGAGGAACTTGTAATGACCAGTGGGGGAACTAATAGTCGGATTCAAAATCGGAAGCAAAAGGAATATCGGAATATATCAGAATTGGAAGGAGCAGATTTTTTYCCTCTAGCGATTCCGATTCGGATTATGACACTTATGATCCTGTATGGACAAACGTAACAGAATGGCAATAAAATATTTGACCAATGACAGAGCTCATGCCCAGGCCAATTATCTTTTTTCTTTATTCGTTTTTGCTGTTATTTTTAAGAGCGCACTGAAATTGGAGCCTCGCTCTGTGTGATCCCCTACCATCATTTTTCTTGTTTAATTTTTCCTTATTTCAAATATATTTTACTTTTAAATTTTGTATATGTTGAGGATGGAAGTGATTAAATAAATAAATTCAGAGCAGAAAACATGGCGGCCTTTGAAAAGTCACCTTCAGAGGCTTAAAAGCGACAGCACAATCTTCAGAATGCAGACTGAACGACTTGAGTGCCAGCCAATGCAATATCCTGCAAGAAGGCATTTATCTTAGGCCTAGGGCAAACGTCGAACTTTCCATGCACCGAACTCATTAAAAACAATGGATATCAGGTGATAATGAGGCGGCATTCTTTGATGCAATTAAGTTCGGTGCATGGAAAGTTCGACGTTTGCCCTAGGCCTTAGTGTCTATAGATATTCCATGGTGTGTAATAAGAAAGCATTGGGCAACTGTACGTTTTATCCCATATCATGCATCCTAGTGGCAGAAAGACGGTCTTTATAACGGTTTTCCTGCGTCTGTATGAGCTGTCTATTTTCTATATGGTATGGAACACAATTCTATGTAAATTATCACAATGTAACGAAAAAAACCCGAACGTTTACCATTTATTGAAAGTGCCAGTCAAAGGGTTAAAGACTTCATCATTTCTACTTAAACATTAAGAATGTTTTTAATTTTTTTATCTTAATCAATCAAGTAATTATTTGCAATATATATAATATTTGGTCGATTTTCCAGCCGCCTTACAGGTACTGGTCAAGAGCTTGAATGCAATATGTATTCCTTGATCCATTTTCCTTTTCGTCACAATAACCTTGATCACTAATGCAAGGCGATCAAGTCAGTGCAATTAGTTCCAGGAAGAGGGGAGGGGAGAGGGGGAAATCCTTTTAGCACATTTTCTTTCTAGACGACGATAAGATTAGCAGCAAAACAAACTCGTTTCCATAGAGATTGAATTGGTCACGTGTACGTGGTATTGACTATTTTAGACCCGACACATAAAGATGACATTTTAAACTGCTCAGCGCCTCAGGGTCACGACAACAAGATCGTTTTCCAGGTTCTTTCACAGTGAAGTAAGTGTGCAAGTGCTGTTACCAACTCTTCTTTCATGGAGTGTCTATAGGTCTATAGCTTCTTTTTGTTTGTATTTGTGTTTGATGATGTGGCTCCTTTTGAGACTACGTTTCAAAGACTCTTTCGAATCAACCTTTTTCTCTCGTAAACTGAGTGTTTTTGGGAAGCACGGGTGGCGTACCGCGTAGCGCTTGCCTCTCACCAATGCAAAAATCAACTTCGATTCTAATTTCAAAGTGAAATTTAAGTGGACGAACTAACAGCTACTCTGTGGAAATACCAATACTGAAACCTCAAAGCCCATTCATTTATGTGCTCTTGGGCCAAGAGTCGTGAAACCGTAATCTTGGAATTAAATTTTTCCCGTTTGGTAATTAGGCGTCTTCATTTTCTCTTCATTTTCAAAGCTTACTTTGTTGGTTTTTATTTTAATTTATGTTATTAAGCTATATCATACTGAGGAATCTTTGATTGAAGTTTCCTTGCTGCGTCTAGCTTATTTCGAAGCCGCTATTAGTGTCGTTAGGCAATGCACGATACTATAGCGGCTGCAAAATAGACAGAGGGATTTCCTAATCTTCACGTTTCGTCTCAGCAGCTATCACGATGTTCATCCACTCTTTTTTGGTCCTTTTCCTATCTGCCATACTGTTGGTCGGCATACCTGTTTTTGGAGAGCAGCTACAGTGTCCTTCAGACTGTAAGTAGCGGTTGCCCTAGCGACGATAGGTTTCAAATCGTCTCCATAGCAATTCGTCGTGTAATATATGAAATAAAACTTAGGTGGCCAAAAGATCTAGAGAGTAGATAAATGCTAGGTGAAACGCTATCGTCAGTATAGCTTCCATTTAGACCTTGCAGTATTTTTACAGGTTCCTAGTCTTAACGGGTGGGGGGCAAACCCCATTTCCAACCTACAATTTTTGATACAAATCCCCCTTTCCATCGTCTAATTAAACTTTTTTCTTTGAGGATATTTTCCCATTCTCATTGTGTTTCGTTCGTGAGCTAAATCTCATTTTTCCAGGACCGGCAAAAGGCAAATCTCAGTTCACATTCAAACCAATCAGGAGGCTCTTTATATTCTAGGGTGTGTGAAAATCTTTGAGGGGGGGGAGGCACGGCAAGAAATCACAACAATAACTTAATAACGGTAATAAAAATCGAATCTATGCATTTATATTTCATGTGAACCAATATTTTGTGGAAGGGGGGGGGGGGGCACATCCCCGGTCCCTCTCCCCCACATGAGTTGGAAACGAAAATCGCTGAATAACCTTCTAGATTTTAACGTAGAAATGACGTCACTGCAAAACTGAGGTGTCATGAGCCTGCAAAAACTGACCAGCCAAAAATAACAGCATGTCCGCCATTGCAATGAAAATATAAAACTCATAAAGTGTTGTGTCACTGTTATTAAGCACCTATTAGCAACGATAGTCTTTCATTTGGGGACCTGGAAATCCGTGATTTCAAGATAAAAAGTTACACCTCAGTTTTGAAAATTTTCTCAAATCTGATTGGCTAACATTTTTTATCAGAGCACCTGGGGGTTATTAGTATGGATACGGTCAACGTCATGAAATTGAAACTAACATACGGTTTTATTCATCCAGATGGCATTACCTTTGGTTCTTTTGTTTTGAAAAAAGATGGCGTAGTAGTACCAGGTGTTTATATAACTGGTGGGCAATATACTATGAGTGGGACAATACAAGTGTATCCTGGAGCTGCACTTCCCTCTATAGACGCAAAGTTTGACGTGTGGGTTACAGCAACCGGCACAGCCCTCTTTATACCTTTTAAAAAGACGTTTTCGATCATATGTGAGCAAGATAGGCCTTGGTAACCATTTTTTTAGTTTTCTCACTTTTTAGCTTTTCTCCACTCCACTCCACTCCACTCCACTCCACTCCACTCCACTCCACTCCACTCCACTCCACT